GAAAGTTAAAGTACAGGTTACCATTTGAAACTCGTGGATACCCTTGAAACTTAGGAGATGGATACCCTTGAAACTTATGTATTGTAGGCGATGTTACCTTTGAAAACTGATGTATTGTAGGCAATGGATATCCTTGAAAACTCGCGTACTGTAGGCGATGGATACCCTTGACAACTCGTATATTGTAGCCGATGGATACCCTTGAAAACTCAAGTATTGTAGGTGATGTTACCCTTGAAAACTCTTGTGTTATAGACGAATAAGCTGAAGGCCCAGAAGCTACATACTATCCAGTTCAAATTAAAGCGTTATAACACCGAAACACTTGTAGTGCAAACAACTGATGATATATATAAACAATGTATCGACCATTACTATACGTGTCACATCCCGGGCCTGGTATTGTACGAAATGCTCCGTCGACGCTGAATATATCAGATATAGTGTGGTTGACATATTATTGCATTCTTCTTGACATTCACCCACAAGTACTTATAATTATAGTTAAGGTTCAATACAAGAGGTTTTTGTGAACGATTTGTCTTAGCACAGATTTATGTAATAATATAAACCACAAAATATTAGCTCTTTCAAACAAGGCCCAGCATGGCCAGATGGTTTGGGCGCTCGACTCGTAATCTGCGGGTCGCGGGTTCGAAACCCCGTCCCACCAAACATGCCCGCCCTTCAAGGCGTGAGGGCGTTATAATGTGGCGTTCAATCCCACTATTCATTGGTAAAAGAGTAGCCCAAGAGTTGGCGGTGGGTGGTGATGACTAGCTGCCTTCCCTCTATTCTTACACTTCTAAATTAGGGACGGCTAGCGCAAAAACTCCCTCGTGTAGCTTTGCGCGAAATTCAAAACAAACAAACTTTCAAACATATTACATGAAAATAGGAAAATTATTAATATTTCCCTCACAATTACGTTATTTATCATTATTATTAATGCGACAACTTTCAACGTAGAACTATTACATAAGCAAGCTATTAATGAAAAAATTCCAAGAGGAATTAAGAACGTTTAAGATTGTTATACAGATTTTTGCCAACGCCCTCTATTTGTATGGTTTATCCACCTTTTAGCAGTAACTTGTGTCGCTAAATCAAATTGATAAACCTAGAGCCACATGTATCTATCAGATGGTTTAAAAATATGGTTAGCCATTCCTAATGCCTCCAGTGTGAAGAATTTCCAATCTGTAGATAATATTCTTTTTTGCTTCACCACTAAGAAATTATTTGAAGCAAATAACAATGTATTGTTTTTTTTTAAACGCCATAATTGTCTTACAACATAATAAAACCTTACGATAGACACTGTACACGCAATTTTGTAATTGGAATAAGTAATCTGTATTACACAAAACATATCGAAGCTAATAAGGTGTACTCCACAGACGATCATTGGCAGCACTATTTTTATATACAGAATACCATGTTCACCAACATAACACAGAAAACTTCTAATCTAGTACCAATGGTGGCGCTACCATTCGATTGTACAAATAAAAATGTTTATAATTTATTTAGTTTTTAATTTAGCATACTTGTTGGCGAGATCCGCTCGTGGTTCCTGCCAATATGCCAAACTGAGAGCATATGTACGATTACTTTGCTTATAAATGACCCCAACATTTTCCTTATACAATAGCTGGGACAACGAAATGAAGACAAATAGGATTTGGTATTTACTGCAATACAAAAACATGAAACTTTGTGCCGTTAGTTTGGATATTTTTATAAGCTTTAGTGTCAGTTCAAGTAATTGAGAATTAATTTAGAACAGTCATTTGTTTGTTTTGTTTTGAATTTCGCGCAAAGCTACACGAGGGCTACCTGCGCTAGCCGTCCCTAATTTAACAGTGTAAGACTAGAGGGAAGGTCGCTAGTCATCACCACCCACCGCCAACTCTTGGACTACTCTTTTACCAACGAATAGTGGGATTGACCGTCACATTATAACGCCCTCACGGCTGAAAGGGCGAGCATGTTTGGTGTGACGGGGATTCGAACCCGCGAATTGCGAGTCGAGCGCCCTAACCACCTGGCCATGCCAGGTAATTTAGAACAGTCACAGAGTTTATCCCAAACTGAAGAAAACTAAAACCATACTTTCGCCGTAATAATTTGATTGCATTGAATTGAAATTTTCTACCTGAATGGCACCATATGCGCACGTGTGCTAAACGACCAGTTCAAAGACTCTTAAGGTTCAGCTATAGCCGGTCCGAATTTCTACTGCCACCCACCGCGACAAGAGATTTGTCCGGCTTTTTGAATAGAATAACGAGGTTGACTGTCACGTTAATTACGCACCACCAGTTAAAAGCGCAGAGCGTGTTGAGCAGCATCACATCTCGAACCTTGGGCCCTCCATTCTACGACCAGACTACTCTAATCACAAGACCATAGTCGGAACACGTTGTGCAGAATATGTTGTAGATTTATTTATAATGTGTAAAATTATGTGCTTTGTTAGGGTAAAAATAGCTGATTTTAATAAATTGATAAATAACAGATGTTATAATTTACGTCAATATTAAAATATTTGTTTATACAACTGTTTTATAAACAGTTTAGCGCTAGAATTGAAAGGATACTCACAGTTGACAAGTTTATCATAATGTTTTGCTTTTTCAAAAATTATTTTTAAATAATTTGCCAAAGAAACTGGTCTCGAAAGTTCATGATATAATTATACAATGCAACAAAAGTTAGATTAAGAATAATATTACGTTATTATGCGTTTGGCGTTAAGGTTTCATAAGTCACCGAATAACAGTATATAACACAATATTTAGTGTAACGTAACTTAGTACAAGGGTTTCCATACTTTCCTGGCCTCACTTGACATCCTAACTAAAGATCTCACCTAGTGAAGTAACATAAAGCGTT